TGAAAATCATACCTCCTGAACGGATTGGAGGATTTTAATGTTTCAAACTGCAAACAACGCGTATTTTAGTGAAGAATCTGTAGAAATTCCAAGAATATTTGAAAATCGAATTTTTAAGAAAAATCGACAGGGGGTAGGTGCCTAAATTTTTCGACGAAAAAAAAAATTTCAAATCGTTCTGAAAAAATTATACTCGGTTCAGGGGTCAATTGCAATCATTTCTTGTCAATAGACATACCTCCGAATTCCTACGTACTTTCGAGAAAAAAATTACCGAAAATACAATGTCTGACCCTGACATTACGATTCCCTTGAAAATCATACCTCCTGAACGGATTGGAGGATTTTAATGTTTCAAACTGCAAACAATGCGTATTTTAGTGAAGAATCTGTAGAAATTCCAAGAATATTTGAAAATCGAATTTTTAAGAAAAATCGACAGGGGGTAGGTGCTTAAATTTTTCGACGAAAAAAAAAATTTCAAATCGTTCTGGAAAAATTATTTTCGGTTGCAGGGGTCAATTACAATCACTTTTGGTGAATACACATACCCTCGAAATCCTACGCATTTTCGAGAAAAAAATTCGTGTAGGTGGACAAATTTTATTAATAATTTTTATAATAACTTTTTAACGAAGCCTCAATCAACAAATTGGTATTCTTGATTTTCGTCTCATTTTTGGGCGATCGAACACCCTGTATATTGAATCCCAAAAATTACTCTCAAAAGTGTACATATCCATGTGCAGTCAGCTTAATAAATAAATCCAAGTGGCTTTTTAAATTTTATAAATCTCCTATATATTCGTTAGTAATTTTTGCTGTCTCTCGCATCGAATTATAAAGGTTGAATTATTATCACGAAAAATTCTCTAAAAAACGCGACACCGCGAGATTTCGCCCCGATCGATACCTTTTATTTACGAAGCTGCCTCGTTAACAAATTTTCATTAAAATTCTGCTCGACGCTGCAGCGTCCCGGCGCGGCATAATAAATTCGGCGAAATCAAACGTTTCGCTTTTGTCGTCCATTATTAAAATAAATCCACGATACCCCACTGACATTTTTCACCGCCGCTCAAACTTTTCCACGCGTTTATTGCATTCTAACCGCAACTTCAATTCTCATAAATCAGTCGCGAAGTTTGTCGCTCCTGAGTACCCGAAATCTTATATTTTCATTCGATTGCTTTCCAACGTTACTCTGCGGAACGAAATCGAATGTTTGGGCAGAGAGGAAATAAAATCTGAAACTTTCGTTCGTGTCTAAAGAGCTGTGATTTCCTATTGGTTTCCTTCTGAGAAAGAATGAAATACTCAAATTCCTTTTTATAGCCAAAGCTATATGTATATACAAAGACAACTCGATTTTCTGATATATTTATAAAATTATCAGCAATGAATTGACAAGGTTTCCCCGATTAAAATGAGTACAAACACGGCCGAATTCGTATTACTTTTAATCATTCCAGATTCAAAGAATTTTTGAAAAATTTTCAACCACTCTTTCGACTGTAATTAAAAATAGTCCAAATGGGGTCGTGTTTGGGCTCATTTTTACCAGGAAAACCTCACGAATCGATCAGCAATACTGTCTTGAAGATATAACAAACAATATACGAAAATAATCTGCTTAAAAAATAAATTTTTAATAATTCGTAAGGGTTATTAAGTTTCACTTACCAGCGAGAGTTTGAAAATTGAATGCTTTCTAACTTCGTGCTCCAATATTTGCGAATCTCAGTGGAAAATCCATGGTGCAAATTGTGTTCCAAGAAAGTTTGCAATTTCAAGCGAATCGGCGTGCAAGGCGTTCGCAAAAATAACGATTAAGCGAAGATAGCAACGCAATGAAAGTTCCAAAGGTCGATTCAGCTACGTTCAAAGATTGCGCCGGAATAACGTTCCGAACTTTCCAAGTTTTCTAGCATACATACTTAAATATATCGATCGAAACGCTGAAGGCGTCAGCGAAGCTCGAAGTTATTAGCTCCGTCGATTTTACAGTTTTCATCGGTCGGGGGAAACTTGATATTGTTCTTGGCCGCGAATCTAGCGGCCAACTTCTCCCACGGAAACCGTTTTATAAAGTTTCTTTTGAATTACACGATCTGCAGATAACGCGAAACACGATGAAGCACCGCCCGGGAAATCCGGGAAATTCTTCGGGGATAATTGAAAATTCTTCGAGAAACGGGTTCGACCATAATCGGTTAACGCTGCAAATAAATTGGAAACTATGAGCGAAAATAATGTTCGATCCTCCTCGTTACACGAGCAACCGTTCACCGACGAGAATAATAATAATTTCCACGACGCCTCTGCGATGCGCTAGCATGCCAAACACGCTAAAAGGTATACTACCAAATCGTGCATCCATCTTATTTTCCAATTTTCTCGCGATACTATAACCATCGATACAATTGCTTTTCCATTTAATTTTATCTGTCGTAAATATCGAGTCTTGCGGTTGATTTCTCGAGCACTTCTAATCCACTTCAAGCTTTGAACTTGCGAGACATTTCACAGAACGGTTATTTCAGTATCTCGAATGGTGAGAAATTTATTAAAGCGTGGAGTGTGTCTGTATACAAAAAAAAAAAAATTTTTTAAACATCGTATTCCAACAAAAATAACAAATTGTGTGATCTCGTTAAGATCTCGCAAGTTACGAAAACAGATCGCCGCGAATGAGTAAACAAAGGGTTTAAAGGAATGGGGAAAACAAGCAAAGTTTCAGTGGAGCAGTTGATGGTACGGATGCAAACAGGTCCCAGGTGGTTCCTTTCCACGCATTCTGGACTGACTTCCTTCCAAACTTCGATAAAAGTAGTAGTTTAGCAAATGAAACTACGTCTGGGAGGAAGATCCGACCCAAAACCTCGATAATAGTATCCTACATTTATGAATACTCTTATCTCGATCTTGCATCTCCGTGGAAAGTAAATAACAATAATTTCAGAACCTAACCTCAAATACACGTCACGTACGTGATCATTTCACTGTATTTTGTTTATTATAAAAATATTCACGACCACGAGATAAGGTTAACGAAACTTGGACGCTTAATCAAGCATCGTAATTCCAAATTCAAGATTCGAACCAAGTGATAAATGTTTAACCGAGCCAAGAAGATTGATAGCCGTGTAAACTGTCAAATACATCGATCATAGTCATACAGTATAGCCTAAACTACTAGGGCCATAAATTATTCAAACAACCCGCGGCCAAATATCAATAGACCGAGATATATATGCAGAATTTGTCAAGGATCAGCCAACATACTGTCAGTGTTCGAGGTTGATGATATAAATTCTTTCAACGTTAATATAAGGATTCAGTCTATTTTCGATCTTCTCAGAATATTCTGTCCGGGTTTCTAAATATTCTTCTACGTACACCGTGTCGCTCATAAATATCAGGACACTTGGCCAAAACGTTATTAATCTTTAGACCACTGTAACTCCAAGAAAAGGAGACGTGCAATAATTTTAAAAGCTCAACCTTCCACACCCTCGCATAACCACTTTACAGTTCCTTAAAAATTTTTTTACGGTCGCCAAAAGTTTAAAAAATTTCATTCTCACCTAAAACTATCATAAATTTTAAGACTACAGTCTCTTCTTTAGAACGACCTCTTCACAAGTAGATGTACCATTTTTTTTTTTGCTAGATTGCAGTCAGAATAGTGACCTTTGATAACCAACAGTATGGAGTATCTGCAGTCTTCCATAGTAAGCTTGGAGAATGCAACCTATACTAGTGAACCTCAAAGAGTATTAACACTAGTCGTAAGAGTCTTTAGGGCTTCATATTCTCGACTTATAGCCACCGCACGAAGAAGAGCATGCATGAGACGTAATCAGATAGACCTGTATGTTCAAACTATAGGATGAAACCTGTTAAGAGTCAGCTCCCACCCAAGGAACATCTAGCTTTGCATGCCAGTTGACCTGTCTGCTTCAGAGACATAGAGACTTGTTTGATCAAACTAAAGATATAAAGATATAATATGCTAGGATGCTCGATATCCTGGAACTCAATCTGATGGATTTAATTCTATGGGTAGAACATAAGGACTATCTAAAGTTTGACTCTACACTATTTTCTCCATCCTGAATCACATCAGTCGTGATTGACCTGCCTGCTTCAAAGACAAGGAGTTGAAGGGAGGAATGATGTTGAGGATGATTCTCAATAGCCTTGGCCAATCACCTGATTTCGACTATAGTCCCAAGAATAGTGACCTCATGAATTATTTCATTTCTATTCACATGACTGGCCTGTCTACTTCAAAGACAAAGAGTTGAAGGAAGGAATGATGTTGAGGATGATTCTCAATAGTCTTGGCCAATCACCTGATTTCGACTATAGTCCCAAGAATAGTGACCTCATGAATTATTTCATTTCTATTCACATGACTGGCCTGTCTACTTAAGGTCTGCTGACTCTGGTAGGCTATTAGAAGTCTTATCATCATCAAAGTGGACATTAAAGAACCGAATCCGATAGAAAGGAGTTCTTTGAAGGCAGTGGAGAGGTGGCCCAGCTTTTAGGAAGCATCCAAGCCCATTCAAACCGTAGGATTCCATTCGATTGGATCCATTTTAACGAATTGAAACCTACATACGTCCCCACCCTCCACTGACAGTGGGTCCAACAGTGGATGGAGAGACGTTTCGTCTAATTTCACGTCACATGATGTTCTAAACCACTCCGTAACAATGATCCTCCCAACGCGTACCGCAACTTTGAACTACCTCGATGGAGTAACAGATTGGATTACTTGCTGGACATTTCTTTTTCGTCTAAGTGCAGCCACCAGTCTGTGTTAGGGAAGTAATTGTTTCGCCAGCTTTTGCCGTGGACTTCTCAAAGAATCCGGGTGGAAAACTCGTCCAGATTTCTTCGAGAAGCTTGGAGGGATGTTTCCTAAGGTGCCTCGAGCTTTTTATGGAATTGCAATTTTCAATTAGAAATAATTACTTTTATTCGTTTACCTTGGCTTCTCTTGTTGGATGGTTGAAACACATGTGGCCTTCGCGAACACCCTGTAAAAGAAAAATTGTATCGTTAGTGTATAGAAACGCCAGGGAGGGGGCTATTCTTCTAAAAAATATGTGTCTTGGGATCGAGTTTATAAATTGTGCTAATCTGATGGGAACACAAAGATGGGGGTCGTATACAAGCTTGCAAATTATGGGCAATTTATAATCACCTCGTTTCGAATAAGTCTTGAGATAGGTTCCCGAACTTCCACCCATAAATGGCGATAAGAATCGCGATTTGTTACTGTACCCCAACGAAACTCATCCCATCCATCCTTAAATACCAATCTTTATGGGATTGTCTACCTCGAAGGTACGATATTTTATTATTATTGCTTCTTTCCGGGCAAGTCCATCGTTTTTTATTGCATTATTTTGCTCCCCCTCTGGCCACGAAAGATAAGCATTCATAAATTAGGGAACATCGTTTTTTTAATCTGCCTTTTTTATCGTTTTTCCATCGAATTCATGGGAATTTTAATTGCTACAAAGGAGCCCACACGCGTTTGGAACCGAATGATCGAACATCGGGAAACAGCGAACGCGGAAAATCAATTCGTAGACGAAACAATTGCTGCTGGGTTTGAATCGCTATGAATATCGATTGTTCGCGAATCGACCTCGTAATGTTGGCGCACGCGAAGGCTGCTGAAAGCTCGATTTGAGAGTGTAATTTTCAGGTGTTACTTCGAGAAGTGAAGAAGAAGTTCTGAAGTCATGTTTGAAGGGGAAAGTAGAGAACGAGTCGAAAATAAAAGCCTAACGCAATTATTTCATGAGCAATTATTTTGCTCAAGGCTTCGAAGATACTTAAGTCTCATCACTCTCATAACTCTAACAAAATTTGTTGGAATTTTCAAGACTTTGCAAGCCATTCAAGAAATTTTCCAAGACTTTGAAGGAGCTTCACAAGATTTTTTATGATTTTCCATGACTCAAGATTTCCATAATTTCCCAAAACTTACTGCGCAACTAGCACTGTGAATTATTTACTATTTATTTGTCTACGATAACTTCCCAATAAGGAGTCTTGACTATTATTTAGCAACCTTTACGTCAATATCTTGTCAAGAGATATTTCCATGAACTCGTTGTACATGACTAGCGCTATAGAGGGCTATAGATAGCGCTAAAGAAGATTATAGAAAGTTCTACCTTGGACTTTAAGTATAGTACAGGACAGTTCTATTTATACAAAAGTGAAATGACCTTGGAACTGGCGCAAGTCATTCTCGAACGACGGAAATTCGATTTCAGTTAAAAAGGAAATCAGCAAACCGAACTTTCGCGAGTTTATTAACTTGGAATTTCATTGCAACACATGTCTGAGATAAAAATGTGACAATTGGAAAGGCATTACTGTGTGATTATGCACATCGCTAACGACTTCATCGATTTCAATGACCTTGTAGTCTGTTGAGAGAGAAGGTCACTAGATATCCCCAACCTACGATCAAGGGTTGCTTATCTCTAGTTTTGAAGTTACTGGCATTAGAAGATAAGAGGAAAATAATAGGCAATTATTTGAAGTTGCAATTGTTTGTTCGTCGTCACCCAACTCCAGACCTAACCTACTCTCACGCCTACGCAAGACTATTATTTTTTTGTCTCAGAACACACGTGAACTTTTCCCCTTCGATATTCTTCAAGGTCATTGTGGTCAATGAAATGGATATTCACAAAGACCAAAATTAGATGTCGAAATGTTTCTATTGATCAATTTTAATAAAGAATTTTTTTTTGCACATTCCAGTAATTTGAATGAGATGTAAAGATAGTGTGAAGTGTTGGAAAACTGTTTAATAGTGGGAATAATAAAGTAGATCGTTGAAAAAATAAATCATCGTTGAAGAGGTTAATGCTAATCGTTATTGACCAGTGTACAACCCGTTGGACTCGTTTAGAATCGCGGTATTGTAACACGCTTGCGTCCATGTTCGAGCACAGAAACGTAACCTTGAGCTTCGCCAACGATATTCGATTATCGTGACCGCTTATGCAGGCATTTTCTCATGAACACGGAATTCGAGTGCGACCGTAAAAACCGTAATTACTGCCCTGCCACGACTTAATTATAGCAGTCTTCAATCTCTTGGCAATCTTGATAACGACTGTTCAATATCCACAGAGTCTTCGTGACTTTTGAATCTTTCGTAAAATATCGAGTTCCTTTGAGTATTACATAAGTACTTTGAAAGTCTTGAAAGTCTTGAAAATCCAAAATTTTTATTAGACCTAAAAGTCTGGCTAATGAATTTCGAACGTTGTAAACGTTTTTATTGCGGGTTTAAAATATTAATAAATTCAGAGTGTGCGACAGAAATTTCTCGCACATGTTTTTCACGACAGCGACGCATTTACATCGGCTTTCTACCGTAATTACGACCCCATGCGCTAAAAACTAGCATCATTTAGTCGCAAGCCATCTCGTACGATAACCAACCAACTCTTTGTATAGAAACTCATTAGCTGCGATATTCTGAATAAACTGAATATTCATGCTCCAGCTTGATTTCAAACGTCCATTTCAGAGAATACAGAGATCACGATATCGTTCTCATAAGTCCCTCAACTGAACGTTTTGCGAACTAAATGAATACCATAGAACGGAATTGCAACAAATGTCAATATACCTGTAGTTTCATCGACTTCTACTATGATTCTTTTGTTCCATTTAAACGTTCTGTGGCCTCTGCAACACAGAATTTATAACATTTCCTCCCTTCCTTATTGACCAGTGTTTCCTTCTTTTCTTTTATTTTTCGTGTCGTATGTAAAAGTATCTAGAATTCTTCGATGAGTTTTAACGAGTCGTAAATGGTGTGAAAGTCTTCGATGACTCACGAGTCTTAAATAATTTGAAAGCTTTCACGAATTCATGAAAGTCCTAACAACGTTTGAATTTCTCGAATGTCTGGACGACGAATTCAAAATGTCTTGAACGCTTTTATGAATTTTGACGGGGCCGCAATGCTTTGAAAGGCTCGACGACGAGCCTTAAATATTTAAAAGCCTCCCAGTGTGCCTTTGGATATCCAGATGATGCGTTGCAAATGCCACGAATGTTTTTTGCCGAGATTTAATGAGACTCCTGAATGTTCTCAAGGTTTTAAATATATGAGTCGCCCCGGTAATTACGCGGCATCAATTGTCCAGGGATCGTCGAGACGAGACGACGCGGTGAAATAGTTCCCGGGCGTACTTCGACATTGACCGTCCCCGGTTGTCTTCATATTTTTCCTTTTCGTCCGCAATAAAATTCCCCCGTCCACCGGAACGGTATTAAATTTTTTCCCCCCCTCGCGGAGGACACATATTTCAGGGAACAGAACGGCAATATAACGAAGCGTCAAATTCTTGTTGTATTACAGACGAGTGCATTCATTGATTGCCGCGGTTGTTTCTCGTTGCAAACGTGGCGTAAAGTAGGTTACGCCGGGCCTGGACACTTCATTCGGACGAAATGTGCAGAACGATCGTTGGCAAGCAATGCGGGTTCGCCTGTAAGCTGTTATTACATGTGTACCCAATTCCTGTGATTTGTGTATTATTTGCATGCACGGTTTGCAACAACCTTGTTGGCATTTGTTACAGAGACCTGCTATCTTGCGATATGGGCGTTCGAATTTTTATATCAAACAAATTTTTAGGTCGAATCTCTTTGAATATTCGAAATTAAAAATTCTCGACAGTCTTGGCAAGTTTCAAATGACTTTGGATGTTTGGAAAGTCTTAGGGAATCTTCCATGCTTCAGACATCTTTATAATGAGTCATTAATGGCTTGGAATTCTTAGTGATAAGTCTTGAATGTCTTAGAATTCTTAATGGTGAGTCTTGAATTCCTTAGAATTCTTTATGATGAGTCATGAATGCCTTAGAATTCTTAATGATAAGTCTTGAATGCTTGGAATTCTCAGTGGTATGTCTCACATAAAGATCTCAACGTGTCTTGACTGTTTCTCAAGCCTTTTTAAATCTTTTAATCCATCGCGCTAAGCCAACGATAACTTCGATTCGTTTGTATTTAATTAAATTAATCTCGAACACGAAACACTGCTGAAACCTGATCCTAATTAAATATTTTCTTTCCAACTGAACTGCCTCTTGCGTCATCCGAAACCCCCGTCACTGAAACCTGATTCATGCTTCGAAACGGGATATTTCAAACTTTGCCCTACTATTACTTCCTACTACTAAAATTCTAAACCGCCACGGAACTCCTACGAAGCAGATTGGCGATCTCTAAGAGAGTTTCACGTCCATATCCAATCATTGTATCAGCACTGGTTCAATTCCGTTTCCAATTGCGAATTCTCTCCGCTCGAATACTCTGCCCTTTCCTTTCTAATTATTCCTCCTTTCCAAATGGAATTCGGTGTCGAAATCCGGATTCTTTGGCTCGAATCACGGAATAAGAAATTCCCCGATTCTCAACCACCTTGGAATCGCAAGGCATCCGGTATAAAAGCACCTCGAAAGACTTTCTCAAATATAATTTCGCCCGGAAGCGAGCGAAAAGTGGCTGCGAATCTGATGGAATCACAACAGGTGTTCATGAGCTGGAACGGTCGGCATAATGCCTTTCAAATCAAGTCGGAAGCTCGGATTTTCCGCACGTTCGCATGCAAATGCATCCTTCCGATGAACGGATCGCGTGTAAACATCGCGCGAGCGGATTATTCGCGTGTTACGTGCCTGTCATCGCTGTTAATCGATTTTTCTTCGGTACACCAAGTCACATCCTTCGACTTGTCGGCTTCTGCGCTCCGGATGTCCCGTTGAACTCCGCCGGGGGATTTCGGAGATTTGGGGGATTTCTCAAACGTGTTTACGAATCTCTTTCCTCTTGAGATTACGTTATTGACATTCCTGATGTCAAGTTTTAAGTGTCTTCGACGACTTCGTTACGATTTATTCAATTTTGACTGTCTTCTGAGCTTCAAAAATGAGTCCTGAAGTACGTGAGTCGTGAAAGTCTTGGAATTCTTAATGGTGAGTTGTG